AGGAGAGCCCGGCGCAGCCCCGCGCGCTGCCCGCAGAGAGCGGCACGTCTCGCCCGCTGCCACATCGCCCCCACATCCGTGCGGTTCCCGGCGGCCTGGATTGGAGCCTTACGTGCTTCTGAACGGTTTTTAAGGAGGGGGAAAAGTCGAGGCGTGTTCTGCGTACGCCGGGAGCGTAGCGGAGAAGCAACTTAACCACGTACAGGGAGGCGGAGACTGTGCTGGGGTTTGTTTTTTTTTTTGTAGGTTTACCTGGACACAGTGTCAGTTTGGTGGCGATCCGATTATTTCAAGGACTGGGACAATACCGTGTTGGGAATGAAACTTGCTACCGTTGCTTATGAAGTCCAGTTTCTCCATCCTGCTTGCAAATTCTAGGCTCAGCAGATCCGTTTTTGTTTAATACACTGTACAGTGTCACATACTAAACATTGCTGGATGTTTTGTATCTTGGTGTGCTACAGGACAAGTTTTGGATAACCAGAGTCGGGCTCCTTGGCGTTTGTCATCTATAACAGATTTCTTCTGGTCGATAGCAGATTTTGTGGTTCTGTTGTAAGTAGAAATTAATTCTTTTGATGAGCTTTATTTTAGATTTGTCATCGGTAGAAGCTACTCAGCTGTCAGTAACACAACAATAAAAATGTTATATTTACTCTTAGCATTCCGCATCTATGTCCCCAAAACATACATGAATGTTTCACTTTGACTATGTGGCTTTGGTTATTAAGTACTATAATATAATTAATAAAAAGGAAAGTGCATGAAAAGTGGTGCTAACTTACTGGCAGCTCAAGTGAGTTTTCTTAACGTTTCTTCCATTTTAATACTGCAAAAAGAAAAAGCCTATATTTTTGTTAAAACAGCTAGTCTCTGCTAGCTGATCAACTAATTAAGATATTATTTGGAAAATTTCTACTGGTGACAATAGATTCTGGCTATGAAAAAATAATCACACAGCAGTAATTGCAAAGTTATGGCCCCAGATTAAAGCCAGTTAAGACACAGAAAGTTCTTTTGATGTATTCAACAGTCCTTTGTTATTTCAGTGACAGGTTGATACTTTGTCATTTCTTGCACTTTATTTACCAGAAAAATAGATTTTTTTATAGTTTGAGCCTTACTGTAATTTGGAATTACTTCAGATTTTATCTTAGTATGTAGGAGAAAAATTGCCAAGATGTAATAAACAACAATAATCTTGAGAAGATACCCTGTTTGTTCCTGAACACTACTTACTGTTTTTCAGGCTATTTCTTACCTTGCAGTCCAAAAATTCCAAAACTATATCTAGCAATCAACTCACCTTACTCCTGTTTTATTTTTCAGTTTCCAGAGCATTATTCAACCAGATTTGCGAAGAAGAGGCTACACATCTTCCTCCTATTCAGGATACAATGACGGAAGAGGGTATTTTTTTCATATTCACACTAGTGATTTTTTTTTTTCCTATCTTAGCAAAATGACATAATGTATTCAGATTACAGTTGTGGTTTGCATTGAACTGGGTCATGTGAGCAGACTAAAATGTAGTTTATCTGCAGTATTTTGTCTACAACTCATTGATAACAATACATAGCTTTGGATAGCTGTAATAACAGTATAGTCTAACTGTCACTGAAACTGCAGGTTTTTCAAACCTGCCTAATAGACAATATGCATCTTTGTTGAAATTCTTTTGTTAGACTTGCTTATACTCAGCATTTGATTTACATTAAATCAGCTATTTCATGTATTAGATTACCTACAGATAAAGCAAAACACTTTGTTATAGGGATATCATTTCTTTAAACACTATAGTTATTGTGTTTCTTTGTTCTTAACGGTTTGCCAAACTTTTTTGTAGGACCACGTAAAAGCCTGTTAGCTGTACTTGTCTCTTGTGAGACAAGAGTAATTGGAGCAGTTTGCATAAGAGAATTTTCATGAACATAGTGTTGGATTTTTTTTTTTTTACAGCTTTTCACATGAATGCCAAACAACTTACAGAGTTTCTAATGTCCTAATTGCTATCACTTAGAGACAGTGTTACTATATCTCTAATGTAACAGTTGAATGCCAATTGAATGGAAGTTGTTTTCCTTGCTTTCTCATCAGGCCTCCAGCACATCCTCGCCGTAGGATGGGTCGAGTAAATCACTGGGGTGGAGGCCCCAGTCCACCACCAATGGCTGGAGGTGGATGAGGAAGGTAATTCCAGTTCTTCTGTATCCTGCTTTGAACTTTTTTTTCTTTAACAATGGTAATTGAAGCTTAAGGTAGAATGGAGCATTTTGTCCTCCTTTTGCAAAAGTTACTGAAACAGGAAGAGAATCAAAGTGGTTAGATACTTTCAGTGAAGAGGGTAAAAAGGAAAGGGGTTGTAAAAACCTTTTGGCTCAGAATTGATGAGCATCTACTTCTAATTGCATGGAAGTAGCTATACAAAGTGTAGCAAAGATTTCTGAATGCAGCTGATAAAAAAAATTATTTAGAACTTCTCATCTTTTTTGGATGCTAATTTAAAGTCCTGTCCAGATCAATAGTGACTGAAACTTTGTTTGCATTTCTAATGATTATCATATGACACATGAAGTTTTTTGTTTAAACTAGAAACTTACCAATAGAAAAGAAGGAAAATTAATTAAATTCTTAAAAGACTATTAATAAATATCTTTTTTCCCTGTTACAGTGATACAGCTATGCAAATCTTGAATTCTAGTATAGCATAAAAATCATAATTGCTTATAAAGGCAGGCATTAAAAACTGTTAAAAAAGCCATGGTCTTTAAATGTCTTACAGCTGCCTGAACTTTAATTCTGTTTTAGTAATTAGTTTTTCTGGTGGGACTTTCATCTAACACTGCATGTATATATAGTATGGTTTAATTTACTTTAAAAGTTAAGTAAACAATCCTTCTTTTTTATGAATCATTCCCCATTGTTACCATAACAAAGTTACAAGAAAAAAAAAACACATGCAGGTGGTTAATCCCTGTAAATCTTTGCAGGAAAAAGTTCATATTCCAAAAAGCACATACACCAGTATTTCAGTTCCCTAGAAAAAGGATAAGCTTCTTCCCAGGATTTTTTTTATTTAATTTGGATGTTGATTACTGTTTTTCTTTCTGACTAGGCATGAGGCCAGCAAAGGCTGTGGGGAGTGCTCTTGAGTAATAATGGCAATGTGTCATCTGCTCAGTAATAGAAGTTTGCAAGCCTTTAGCATATCTCATTTAGCTAAATTAAAAACAACTTTTTAATTTTAAATTGTTACTTACCTAATTTTATCTCACAAAGAAAGGCCTTGTCTTTAAACATACTGGAATTACTTTATCTTTTAGGTAAACGCCTGCTGAAGAGGCAGGCAAAAGCATACACATTTGCAAGATGAAAGGGAAGAAGAATTCAGTGGCGGACCAAATGAGTTTGGATGTTGTGGATGTGTATGTCTAACTATAAACTGTTCTGTGATACAAGCAGATTAATGAAGTTGTACTGGGAACTCCTTCTTCAAGGATCCAGTGTAACTGAACTACAGTTTTATTAAATACATGTTTACTGTCTAAAGTCTTTGTATAGTTTCTGAACATTTTACTGTAGTTTGCAAAGTAATAAGTAAATTATATTTGGGTTGTCACAAGGCTGACTTTCTTATTTTTAGAAAAAAAAATCTGTCTGAAATACAGTAAGCCCTTTTCTGTTCAAATGAGAAAGAATACATATTTATATTAGATACAGAAGGTGCCTCGAGTCAAACTTAAAGCAGCGCTTCCCAATACATTTTGTATTTACTCTATTTTTATCAGTACTAATGCTCTGTACTTTGCTGTATTTTCATGATATTAACGATACTCTAAAAACACTTCTAAAATGCAACTTAGAAATTAGTTTTACAATCCTTGCCTTTTACAAACTGCCTCCTTAAGGCTCATAATGGGTTTTATAACCTCCTCTTGAAACAGCTTCCTTCTCCATAATAAACTTACTCAAATGCATAACCCTGTTTGCTCTACAAATTTTGGTAGGACTTTTTTCAATAAAATTAGGCACTGTTTTTATTACATGAAGAAAAAGGTAGTGAACTCAAATACTGAGTGCTGACACAGAAAAGTTATTTTCTTTCAAACAGTAACTACCTTTTAATTAACTTACCCCATTTCAGGATGAGAGTTTCTTACTGGTTTTGGGTTTTGGGGTTGGTTTTGTTTAGCTGGAGGGGGCTGCATCTGATAAAAGATTAGTTGCCAAGAATCCAGATGAAATTATTTTCTACAAGGTGCCATTACAAATTTTTTGCTTAAACCTCTCTAATAGTCTAATTATAACATACGCACATACCCAACACAAAGTGACCATCTTTTAAACTTCTGGGTAACAGCAGCCTTCAGTCTAACAAACAGATCTTTCTCAACACCACGCAAACGTCATATCTTCATCGTTCGGACAGACCAGGTGCATCCCGGGCGGTGCGTCATCGTTGGTTCTTCACAGGTGCATCACGCGTGCATCAGCCGAACTCCGGTATTGAGCTGTTGGGAAGGCTGCACTA